CACATCTAGATCATCCCTGACAGGTGTGTGTCTAACCTGCTCTTAAATATCTTCAGGGATGAAGATTCCACAACCTCCCTAGGCAATTTATTCCAGTATTTAACCACCTGACAGGTAGGAAGTTCCTTACTACCCTGGCTGCAATTTCAGCCCATTGCTGCTTGTCCTATCTTCAGAGGCCAAGGAGAACAATTTTCCTCCCTCCTCCTTGTAACACCCTTTTAGATACTTGAAAACTGCTCTCATCCCCTCTGTCTGCTCTTTTCTAAACTAAACAAGCTCAGTTCTTTCAGTCTTTCCTCCTAGCTCATGTTCTCTAGACCTTTCATCATTCTTGTTGCTCTTCTGCAACCCACAAGGGGAGAGGGTATTCTTGACTTAGTGCTAAATGGAGCACAGGATCTGGCTCAAGAGGTAAATATAACTGGACCGCTTGGAAATAGTGACCATAATGTAATAAAATGTAACATCCCTGTGGTGGGAAAAACACCTCAGCAACCCAACACTGTGGCATTTCATTTCAGAAAGGGGAACTACACAAAAATGACGTTAGTTAAACAGAAATGAAAAGGTCCAGTGACAAAAGTAAAATCCCTGCAAACTGCATGGAAACTGTTCAGAGACACCATAATAGAGGCTCAACTTAAATGTATACCCCAAATTAAAAATCACAGTAAGAGAACCAAAAAAGTGCCACCGTGGCTTGGCTTAACCATGTAAAATAAGAAGTGACAGATAAAAAGATATCTTCTAAAAAGTGAAAGTCAAATCCTAGTGAAGAAAATAGAAAGGAGCATAAACGTTGACAAATTAAGCTTAAAAATATAATAAGAAAAGCCCAAAAGGAATTTGAAGAGCAGCTAGCCAAAACGTAATAGCAAAATGTTTAATTACATCAGAAGCAGGAAGCTGGCTAAACAACCAGTGGAGCTCTTGGATGATCAAGATGTTAAAGGAGCACTCAAAGATGGTAGTCATTGCAGAGAAGCTAAATTAACTCTTTGCTTCAGTCTTCGCTGCTGAGGATATCGGGGAGATTCCCAAACCTGAGCTATTCTTTTTAGGTGACAGATCTGAGGAATTGTCCCAAATTGAGGTGTCATTAGAGGAGGTTGTGGAACAAATCGATAAACTTAACAAGAAGGCTGTGTCTGCATTGGCAAGATTTTGCGCAAAAGCACTTGCTTTTGCGCAAAATCTTGCCACCTGTCTACACTGGCCGCAAGTATTTGCGTAAGAACACTGACTTTAATGTACAAAATCAGTGGTTCTTGCGAAAATACTCTGATGCTCCCGCTCAGGGATAAGTCCTCTTGCGCAAGTATTCTTGCGCAAGAAGGCCAGTGTAGACAGGCATGTTACATCTTTTGCATAAAGGCACATGCCAGTATAGACGCTCTCTCACACAAATACTTTTAACGGAAAAACGTTTCCGTTAAAAGTATTTGCACAAAATCATGTCAGTGTAGACACAGCCTAACAAGTCACTGGGATCAGATGGCATTCACCCAAGAGTTCTGAAAGAACTCCAATGGGAAATTGCTGAACGATTATCTGTGGTTTGTAACCTATCCTTTAAATCAGCTTCCATACCTAATGACTGGAAGGTAGCCAACGTGACGCCAATATTTAAAAAGGGCTCTAGAGGTGATCCTGGCAATTACAGACCGGTAAGTCTAACATCAGTACCGGACAAATTAGTTGAAACCACAGTAAAGAATAAAATTGTCAGACACACAAATGAAAAATTTGTTGGGGGAAGTCAACATGGTGTCTGTAAAGGGAAATCCTGCCTTACTAATCTGCTGGAGTTCTTTGAGGGGGTCAAAAACATGTGGACAAGGGAGAGCCAGTGGCTATAGTGCGCTTAGATTTCCTGAAAGCATTTGTGGTTTGATAACTGGTTAAAAGACAGGAAACAAAGGGTAGGAATAAATGGTAAGTTTTCCGTGTGGAGAGAGGTAACTAGTGGGGTTCCCCAAGGGTCTGCCCTGTGATCCATCCTATTTAACTTATTTATAAATGATTCAGAGAAAGGGGTAAAGATTGAAGTGGCAAAATTTGTAGATGATACCAAACTGCTCAAGATAGTTAAGACCAAAGCAGACTGTGAAGAGCTTCAAAAAGATCTCACACAGCTAAGTGTTTGGGCAACAAAATGGCAAATGAAATTTAATGTTGATAAATGTAAAGTAACGCACGTTGGAAAGAATTCCTGAAAGCATTCGACAAGGTCCCTCACCACAGGCTCTTAAGCAAAGTAAGTTGTCAGGGGATAAGAGGGAAATAAAGGGTAGAAATAAATGGTCAGTATTCCGAGTGGAGAGAGGTAACTAGTGGGGTCCTCCAGCTGTCTGTCCTGGGACCAATCCTATTCAACTTTATACATGATCTGGAGAAAGGGATAAACAGGTGGCAAAATTTGCAGATGATCCCAAACTGCTCAAGACGGTTAAGACCAAAGCAGACTGTGATGAGCTTCAAAAGGATCTCACCAAACTGTGATTGGGCAACAAACTGGCAAATGAAATGTAATGCTGATAAATGTAAAGTAACGCACGTTGGAAAGAATCATCCCAACTAGACATGCAATATGATGGGGACTAATTTAGCTACGACTACTCAAGCGAGAGCTCTTGGAGTCATTGTGGAGAGTCCTCTGCAAACATCCACTCCGTGTGCAGCAGCCGTCAAAACAGCAAATAGAACGTTACAAATAATGAAAAAAGAGATTGAGAATAAGACAGAAAATATCTTAGTGCCTCTATATAAAACCATAGTACGCCCACATCTTGAATGCTGCGTAAAGATGTCGCCTCATCTCAAAAAAAGATATATTGGCATTGGAAAAGGTTCAGAGAAGAGCAACAAAAATGATGAGGGGTTTGGAATCGGTCCCATATGAAGAAAGATTAAAAAGACAGACTTTTCAGCTTAGAAAAGAGGAGACTAGGGGGGAATTGATAGAGATCTATAAAATCATGATTGGTGTGGAAAAAGTGAATAAGGGAAAGTTATCTACATATTCCCACAATCTAAGAACTAGGGTCCACCCAATGAAATTAATGGGCAGCAGGCTTAAAACAAACCAAAGGAAGTTTTTCTTCACTCAGTGCACAGTCAACCTGCGGAACTCCTCGCCAGAGGATGCGGTGAAGGCTAAGACTTTCACAGAGTTCAAAAAAGAACTAGATAGATTCATGGAGGTTAGGTCCATCAGTGGCTGTTAGCCGGAATGGGGAGGAATGGTACCCATAGCCTCTGTTTCTATGGAAATGGGTGACGGGAGGGATCACATGAGGATTCCCTGTTGTGTCCCCTCCCTCTGGGGCACCTGATATTGGCCACTGTCGGCCGACAGGACCCTGGGCTGGATGGACCTTTGGTTTGACCCAGTCTAGCTGTTTTTATGTTCTGTGGATCGTCTCCAATTTCTCCAGGTCTTTCTTGAAATGTGGTGCCCAGAACTGGACACAAGACTCCAGTTGAGGCCCAACCAGCTCAGAGTAGAGCAGAGGAATGACTTCTCCTATCTGGCTCACAGCACGCCTGTTCATGCAGCCCAGAATCTTGTTTGCTTGTTTTGCAAGAGAGACACACTATTGACTCATATGTAGCCTGTGGTCCAGTATGACCCCTAGATCCCTTTCTGCAGGACTCCTTCCTAGACAGTCGCTTCCCGTTCTGTGTGAGAGACACGGATTGTTCCTTTTTAAGTTGAGCACTTTGCATTTGTCCATATTAAACTTCATCCTATTGACCTCAGACCCTTTCTCCAGATCATTTTGAATTATGTCTCTGTCCTCCAAAGCACCCGCCACCCCTCCCAGCTTGGGATCAGCTGCAAACTTAAGAAGTGTCCTCTCTATGCCAGTATGTAAATAGTTGATGAAGATATTGAACAGAGCCAGTCCCAAAACAGACCCCTGCGGAACCCCACTTGTGATACCTTTCCAGCATGACTGTGAACTGTTAAAAACTACTCTGAGTACGGTTATCCAGCCGGTTAGGCACCCACCTTATAGTGGCCCCAGCTACATTGTATTTGCCTAGTTCATTGATGAGATCATGTAAGACCATATCAAATGCCTTACTAAAGTCTAGGTATACTGTGTCCACCTGGGTTGATCTTATTTCCCTTTTTATAGATGAGCACTAGATTTGTCCTTTTCTAGTCCTCTGGAATCTCTCCTAACTTCCATGGCCTTTCAAAGGTGATAGAGGAGGTAGCCGAGCCTTTAGCTATCAGCTCCTTGAATATTCCAACTCCTTGAATAGCCCTGCTGACTTGCAGACGTCTAATTTTTATTTTATCTTCTAAACCTACCCCCTTCCCACTAGCATTCACTGGTAGGCATTCCCCCAGACTTCCTGGTGAAAACCAAAACAAAGAAGTCATTAAGCACCTCTGCCACTTCCAAGTTTCCTGATGTTGTTTCTCCCTCCTCACTGAGCAGTGGGCCTACCCTCTCCTTGGTCTTCCTCTTGCTTCTAATATGTTTATAGAAAAGTCGTCTAGGTAACAAGTTCATTTTGTGCCTTTGCCTTTCTAATCTTGCGCCTGCACAGCTGTGGTGTTCGCCTATATTCATCCAGGCTACATCTAGACTGGCATGATTTTCCGCAAATGCTTTTAACGGAAAAGTTTTCCGTTAAAGCATTTTCGGAACAGAATGTCTAGATTGGAGGACGCTTTTGCACAAAAGCACTTTTTGTGGAAAAGCGTCCGTGGCCAATCTAGACGCGCTTTTCCGCAAAAAAGCCCCGATGGCCATTTTCGTGATCAGGGCTTTTTTGTGGAAAACAAATCTGAGTTGTCTACACTGGCCCTTTTGCGCAGAAGTCTTTCGGAAAAAGACTTTTGCCTGAACGGGAGCAGCACAGTATTTCCGCAAAAGCACTGACAATCTTCCATGAGATCCTCAGGGCTTTTGCGGAAATTCAAGCAGCCAGTGTAGACAGCTGGCAAGTTTTTCCGGAAAAGCTTTTCCTGAAAAAGTGGCCAGTCCAGACACAGCCCCTTTGTCATAGTTTTCACTCTTTATAGGACTCCATTTTGATTGAGAGCAGGGAAGGTGTCCTGGTTAAGCCAAGGGGGTCTGTTGCCAGACTCTCTCCTAAGCCATGGAATGGTGGTCTATTCTGTTGCCAGCCCTAGCTGGGAGCTGTTCCTACCCCTCACCCCCTCTCTGCCTCTAGGGGCTTCAGCTACGTGGACTTGGTGGAGGGGCTGCAGGACGGCCGGTTCTATGCCCTGAAGCGCATCCTGTGCCATGACAAGGAGGACCGCCAGGGAGCCCTGCAGGAGGACGAGGTGGAGATGCACCAGCTCTTCGACCACCCCAACATCCTGCAGCTGGAGGCCCACTGCATGGTGGAGAAGGGGCCCAAACACGAGGCCTGGCTGCTGCTGCCCTTCCTCAGGGTAAGGCCACCCTGTCTCCCGGGCAGGGCTGAGACAAGGCCCGGCTCCATTTGGAGCCAAGGGGGCACTTTGCTGCTGGGGACGCAAGCGGGTAAGCGGGGATTCCCGGTTCTGCTCTGCCTGGGGCTGCCAGGAGCCCCCTTACACAATGGGTCAGTTTGGTACCATTTTTACAGCCCTGATTGCTGCTGGCCTGGGAGCCCGATGCAGCAATGCATGCTGGGAGCTGTAGCCTTTGGAGGCCAGCTCTAGGCCAATCACAAAGGAGTGTGAGATGTGCCCCCAGGTCTCTCCTGCTGGGAGAGGGGTCACTGTCTCCCAGCAGCCCTGCCCTGCCCACCTGGCCTCCTCATTGCACCTGGGTCGGCGCCAGCAGGGTGAGGGCATGCAGAGGGCCCCACGCAGCCATCCCTGCTTCTGGCCCGCATGCGGAACAGCCTGGCTGGCTCAGCAGCTGGCTGGGCGTGGTGTCTTGGGTCAGGGCACACAGCTTTTAGAAAGGGGCATCCGCTCTATCAGGAGACCAGCACTGTCTGGCCTCACTGGTCACTTACGGCAGGGAGTTCCCCAGGTTTGAGTCTGTGCAGCATTGCTGCCCTGGCCTGTCAGCAGGGACAATTAGAGCAGCTGCTTGCTGGGCCACGGCTGCACTTCATCCCTCTCCTGAGCTGCCCTGAGACCTGTTAGCAGCAGGCTCTTAGGGCCTGGTGCATCCCTGCTGCAGCTGGAGGAGGGAAGGGGCTGTGGCTGCTCATTAAGCACCTGCCTGTCTGCTCGCCAGAGGGGGACCCTGTGGAGCGAGGTGGAAGCTCTGCGAGACAAAGGCTCCTTCCTGCCTGAGGAGCGGATCCTCCCCCTTCTCCAGGGCATCTGCCAGGGGCTGCAGGCCATTCACGCCAAGGGCTACGCCCACAGGTGAGCCCCCCGGGCCTGCGGGGGCGGGGCCTGCCCCTCTGGGGACCTCACTCTCTGTCCCCACAGGGACCTGAAGCCCACCAACGTGCTGCTGGATGACGCGGAGCAGCCAGTGCTGATGGACCTGGGCTCCATGAACCGGGCCCGCATTGAGGTCAAGGGCTCCCGCCAGGCCATGGCTGTGCAGGTAGGAGGCACCCGGCTCTGTGGCCCCTCCCTGTGGGAAGATCAGCTGCTTGGGCTGAGACCTCTCCCCAGCAGGGGCTCTCCAGCCCTGCTCCTGGAGTAGGGGCCCCATCTAGCCCCCCCCACCATGCCAGTCACAGGCCTCTTGTCCCCCTCCCCCTGCTAACTCCCCAGTGCTGGCTCATGCTGTGCCCTCCCCTCCCAGGACTGGGCGGCTCAGCGCTGCACCATCTCGTACCGGGCCCCGGAGCTCTTCACAGTGGAGAGTGACTGCGTCATCGACGAGCGCACCGACATCTGGGTAAGGCCCCGCGGCAGGGCCGCTGCTCCCCTCCCGGGCGGTGCCTGGGCCGTCTTCAGTCCCTAGGCTGCGTGCTGTACTGCATGATGTTCGGGGAGGGCCCCTTCGACATGGTCTTCCAGAAGGGCGACAGCGTGGCGCTGGCTGTACAGAACCAGCTCCGCGTGCCCCCCACTGGCAGGTGAGGAGCGGGCCTGGCTGCCCCCACCCAGGGCCGGTAGCTGTGCGCTCACCCCTCTGGGGGGCCCTGCCTCATGCATGTGCCTCCTGCAGGTACTCGGCCAGCCTGGAGCACCTGCTCTCCTCCATGATGGTGGTGAACCCTCAGGAGCGGCCTCATGTCTCCCAGATACTGGACCAGCTGGAGGGGCTGCAGCCAGCCTTGAGGGGCCAGGCCACCACCCGGATCTGAGCCTGGGGCCGGGCCAGCACTGCGTGTGGAGGCTGAACTGCTTGTAAGACTGAGCTGGAGGTTAAAAGCAAGACCAGGCCTGCGGGGTGGAGCCCTGCCAGCGCCTGCCGTTTCAGGACCACCTCGGGCACCCACTCTGCTGCTGGGGCCTCAGCAAGGGGTGGCCAGGCATGCGCTGAGCCCCAAGCTCTGGGGCTGTCTGGAGAGGGGAGCCCTGCCGCTGCCCCCAGCAGTTAGTGGCCTTCTGCCCCTCAGCCAGAGCTGGGGGCAGCCCCTGGGTCTGCTGCCCATCTCCTGCAGGAAGGGGGGTGGGGTCAGGCCATGGCAGCCCCAGGGCCTGGCTGGGTTTGGTCCAATAAAGCATGTGGAGACTGGCCTGGCTCTGAGATTCTGTGACCCTCCCCCCCCACACACACAGCTGGGGAGGGGGCAAGTGGGAGCTGCGGGGCTGGTGCTGAGGGGAGCCCCCCTGGGCTTCCCCTAGCTTGGGTCAAAGCTGGGCTGCAGGAGGCAGCTGTTGGCAGGGGAGGACCCCAAGGCGGCCTGGGCAAGATCCCTGCAGGGGGCACATGTGTCTTCCCCAGGCCCTGCAGCTGCCATGACAGGCACAGAGGAGCCCCCCAGCCCTGAGCACCTTCCAGTTCCCTAGAGCCATGTTCCTGTACCCCAGCCCCCCACTGGCCTGCACCAGAGGTGGGGGTCACCCCCCATTGTTCCAGAGCAGAAGAGGGGGCCTGGGCCAGGTGTTGGCAGAGCCATGGCCCCAGGCTGTGCTCACAGCTGGGAGCAGACCAGCTATTGTTAACCCCCCTCCCTCCCGTGGGCTGTGGGGAGAGCAGGGGCCACCCACCGCCCCACAGGCAGAGCAATGCTGGGGAAAGGCAGGGGGGCCAGCCAGCAGCCCCACCCCACCCCCCAGCAGCCAACTCCCACCTGCACCCAGGACTGGACTTTGGGCCCCCAGCTGCTGGCCCCCCCGCCAGGGCTCTGCCCAGCCAGCAGTGGGGGAGGGGCAGCCCCCTGCAGTCCCAGGCTCCTGCAGCCCCACCCCTGGCACCAGGCCCCATGGTCCTCGGCTGCCCACCAGCAGTGGCAGGCAGTGGTGAGCTCCCCCTATGGCCGCACGCCCGGCGTGATGCACCAGGGAACTGGCCGGACACGCTGTGCGCAGAACTGTGCCGCCCAGCAGGGCCCTTCCCTTCCAGGCAGAGAGCAGGGGGATAGCCCCTTCCCCACCCCCGCAGGCCTGGCCAGCCCCCACCCTCAGCTGTAGGGGTGGGCCTTCAGCCCCCGCCCCTCCCCCAGCAAGAACAGCCACAGCTCGGGGTGGGTTTGCAACCAAGGAGACTTTATTTTCCTAGAGGGATTTTGCAGTTAACAGAGCAGGGCCCAGCCTCAGTACTCCTCCCCCTCCTCTTCGTCCTCATAAGAGTCAATCCCCACCTCCTCGTAATCCTTCTCCAGCGCAGCCATGTCCTCCCGGGCCTCGGAGAACTCCCCCTCCTCCATGCCCTCCACAGCTCGGGGTGGGTTTGCAACCAAGGAGACTTTATTTTCCTAGAGGGATTTTGCAGTTAACAGAGCAGGGCCCAGCCTCAGTACTCCTCCCCCTCCTCTTCGTCCTCATAAGAGTCAATCCCCACCTCCTCGTAATCCTTCTCCAGCGCAGCCATGTCCTCCCGGGCCTCGGAGAACTCCCCCTCCTCCATGCCCTCCCCCACGTACCAGTGCACGAAGGCCCGCTTGGCGTACATCAGGTCGAACTTGTGGTCCAGCCGGGCCCAGGCCTCCGCGATGGCCGTGGTGTTGCTCAGCATGCAGACGGCCCGCTGCACCTTGGCCAGGTCGCCCCCGGGCACCACTGTCGGGGGCTGGTAGTTGATGCCCACCTTGAAGCCGGTGGGGCACCAGTCCACAAACTGGATGGAGCGCTTGGTTTTGATGGCAGCGATGGCAGCATTGACGTCCTTGGGCACCACGTCCCCACGGTACAGCAGGCAGCAGGCCATGTATTTCCCGTGGCGGGGGGCGCACTTCACCATCTGGTTGGCAGGCTCGAAGCAGGAGTTGGTGATCTCGGCCACGGAGAGCTGCTCGTGGTAGGCCTTCTCGGCCGAGATGACCGGGGCGTAAGTGGCCAGCGGGAAGTGGATGCGGGGGTAGGGCACCAGGTTGGTCTGGAACTCCGTCAGATCTACGTTGAGGGCTCCATCGAATCGCAGGGAGGCAGTGATGGAGGACACGATCTGGCTGATCAGGCGGTTCAGGTTGGTGTAGGTGGGGCGCTCGATGTCCAGGTTGCGGCGGCAGATGTCGTAGATGGCCTCGTTGTCCACCATGAAGGCGCAGTCCGAGTGCTCCAGGGTGGTGTGGGTGGTCAGGATGGAGTTGTAGGGCTCCACCACCGCCGTGGAGACCTGGGGCGCAGGGTAGATGGCGAACTCCAGCTTGGACTTCTTGCCGTAGTCCACGGAGAGACGCTCCATGAGCAGGGAGGTGAACCCCGAGCCGGTGCCCCCGCCGAAGCTGTGGAAGACCAGGAAGCCCTGCAGCCCCGTGCACTGGTCGGACTGCCAGGAGAAGGATGTCAGAGCTCACCACACCAACTAGCAGCCAGTCCAGGCTGGGGCAGACATGGCCCAGCCGGACCAGGTGACTTCCACCAGCTCCCCCACCACGGGAAGAACAAGCCCGAGTCACCCAGGTCCCCGAGCAGGGAGCCCCACAGCCCCACGTCCAAGCCTGGCCAAGAGCCCCAGCCAGGAGCATGTCTAAC